CGCCCGAGGGTCCATTAAGAGTTTGCCATCTTCTGCTCTAGCGAGTTTGCCCAAGCCAGATAATGTCAGTGTCGCTCATCGTCCGTATGTGCTCGATCACCGCTCATGAAGAGCTCGGTTGAATGTTGACGTATTGTATGCCCCCATCTCACACTTTATTGTTACTCCCACTTCTCATGTTCTAGGTCTCGAGCACACAAAAAAACCAATCTTAGTTGTTGCTCTCCCTGGTGTACCTCCTCTGCTTGTATGCTTCTTCTCTTGATTCGCACCTTGTCTCTTCAACATTAAACCTGCTCAGCTTCATTTAACCTTGACCTCACTCACCAGCATGCACATATTTCTCTATCTAACACTCGACTCCTCCCTCTCACTCAATTTTTGTGTCTTTTGTTCTCTATTTTGTACCTTTCACTTCCGTTTATACTCGTCTCTATTATAATGACAAACTAAAACCACACAGCTCGTTTCATCGCTCACATGACTTCTCCCCTTCTCCTCAGCTGGTTTACGCCTCTCCATTTATTTTTGAAAAATGGACTGAAACTAGCTATTTCCTTTTTTTTTCTAATTATGAGACATTATACTACTTTGGTGCATCCATTTGTTTGAGGTAAAATAACATTATCTAAATAAAATTAAGTTCAACCTCTCCAACTTTCTATAAAAGTTTCTTGTTAATTATCTAAACAACACTTTCGATTTTATTACCTAAATCTAATTTTTTCTCTTATGCCATTTTTGTCATGATTGAACCCGAGCGCTTATAATTTCTAAGGCAAGAACAAATAATTAGTTGATAAAAATAATCAAAATCACAATTTCCACTGCTAACAAATAATCATCTAAATAAATTGAAAAAATTACATAAAAAAAATATGTTTCAATTAACTAAAACGTAAAATTGTTGTGAAGGAAATTATCTTTTTCTGGCTTAATTTAAAAATGTTGGTTTAAATTCTTGTGAGTTATCAACAACTCAGTAAGTACTCATGAATCAAAATAACAATAACACAACAGAAATAGAAAGCAATATGTACGCTAGTCCAATGCAATATATAGATTTAGAATCAATGGACAGTATGATTTTCAAATATGATCAGTAAAGGTGTAAAACATTTGTTATATTGTACTATATCAATTTTCAGATTTATATAATTTTATATAATATATTAATATACATCGATATCAATATTTTTTTAAAGTTTATGTATATGGATACTTTAGCAATCTTAGCTAATACTATAAGGGAATAAACTACATCAGTCAATCAAGCATACGCAAGCACACTATATAGATCATTTCATTCATACTTTTATATCAGTCAATGTACTACTTTAATAAGTAATGTCTACAATAAATAATTTAAACATAATGAGAGTATACATATCATTCATTCAATATGATAAAACATTCAACATAAGAGGTAAATCATGAATTTGTAATGCCAATCAACCTAAGCATCATTAAAATTAAATGTATTTGATCTAAAAAAATTAATAATATTATCATAACTATAAATATTTGTACTTCGTTTTCCTCCAAATGCAAGGAAACAGGGAGAAGCGGAAAGGCTTGAAAGGTGAGGAGACAAACTGAAAAACATCCATCATTATCATAGCTCCTTGACCACCTGACTGACTTGAGAAGCTACGGAATAAAAAGATGTCGCTGACATTTCAAAGCTCTTTGGCCGCTCTTTTGCCAAGGAGATGAGGAGACTCATGGTTGGGCTTGATGCTTTTGGTAAAACGACAATTCAGTACAATCCTAAAAGCTTGGAGAGATCATCATACCATTCCTACCATTGCATTCAATGTTGAGACTATAGAGTACAAGAACATTATCTTCATTTTCTAGAATGTGGGGTTCAATAAAAGATCCGACAATTGTGGATGCACAATGCCCAAAATACCTAGGTCTTATCTTTATTGTAGATAGCAATGACAGAGATCATATTATAGAGGTCAGCAATGAGCTCCATAGAATGCTTAATGAGGATGAATGTCAGATGTTCTTCTTGCATTTGCAATCAAAAAGGGTCTTTCAAATGTAATGAATTTTGCTTAAATCACTTTTAAAAACTGGCCTTCATTCCCTTCGTCAGCAACATTGGTACATCTAAATACCTGTGCTGCTTCTGGTGAGGGACTGTATGAGGGGCTGGATTGGCTGTCTAGCAACATCGCCAACAAGGGTCAAAACTTGCAAGATGCCTAGATGGAGAAATGGAGAGGGATTGTTCTCTAAAATTGCCTTGAGTTTTGTTGCTCATTGTTAAGTCCTCAAATTATTGAACTTGGTAAAGGGTTATTTTAAATGTGCCTGCTGTGTTTATATATGTATGCTTCTATGGCATTAAAACAAGGGTTACAACTTGCAAGATGCCTAGATGGAGAGATGAAGAGGGTAGTTCTAAAAAAATGTCTCAACTTTGGTTGGTCACTGTTAAGCCCTCAGATTATTGAACATGGCAAATGATTTTATCAAATATGCGTGCTATGTTTATAAACTTGTACTTCTATGGCATTAAAAGAAACATTAGTACTCATCTCATATAAGTTGGCTTACTTTCTTCCTTCTTAGACATTTGAAATTTGCCTCCTACAATTTGACATATATAACAGGATATAAATATAAATATTAATCATATTATTTAATTATGCTTAACTGCTCTTTTAATTAATGATATTATTTTCAATATTGGTTGAAATCTTACATTTTAAGTATCCATATCACTTTATTTAGGCTATTCATAATACAACTTCTATCAATAAATAAAACTTGCATTAAATTTTTCCTTCCACTTTGTTTTCTTGTCTAGAATAAATTTTATTTAATTTACCTTAAACAATATTTAATATTGTGACAATTATAATTCCAATTGTTGACAAAATATAACAGCTGTACTATTAAACTTTTATTAATTGCAATCATGTTTTTATTTTAATTTTAACTTTCAATTATCATCTATCTCATATATAAATATTTAACTTTATCATTTAGAAAATTGTCAATTGTCATTGAAGATAACAATCATATTTTATTCTGACAATTGCTGATAAAATTTTAAATTCAATAAAACTTTAACATCATATTATCTAACCTTTTTTCACCCATTAAATAACTAAGTCGTTTTTAGTATATACTTTCTAATTAAATATTCATCATTATATTAGGATTCTACAAAGAAAACTTTTTTATGATTTATATAAAAAAATAATCCTAAAGTTTCCAAAATGGTTTTATTTCTATCTATAATTTTGAAATTAAATAAAATTTACCTTAATGTTTCTAGTTAAATTCCTTGAAACTTAATCATACTCCCATTTCGCACATAGAATGTTCATCAATTGGTTCAGCTGATTGTTTTCGCTTGCATGCACAGTTCAATCCTTCCGTTGCACCCGTGGCTTGATTCATTGTTCCCATCTACAAATTAAAAGCCGCTTTGGCATGTGCTTACTCGAGGCTATGTCAGCCCTCATCCATTCATTTGCCTGCAAATGACCGCACAAAGATTTCAGATCAAACAAAATTGAATTGACACAGAAATCAACTCAACCTAAGCTCCCTCACATGTTGTTTGTCATCACTACTGTGAACTTCGTATGCTTTCGCCCTTTCTCCCTTTGTCTTCCCTTTTTTCTCAGGATCGCACTAGGATTGTGTCCCCACTTCGCCTTCATTTACCTCAATAACAAGGAACAACTAGCATTGGTTTGCCAAACCTAGCCGGTTCTTTTAGTTCTTGTTTTTTTTTTTGCCAAGCATTACATCTAGCACATAAAATTCTTTCAGCGTGATCCTACAAAGCACATAACTAGTTCACAGTTCATAAAATTTTACCAATTGCCAGTAGAATAAGAGAAAATTACTTTGCCCATTGATAATCAACAAAACTGTTGTCACCAAAGAAGTCACTCAACCTCAATCTTGCCCGGTCAAGCCCATTAGTTTATCACCTCTTTCTCTCCAAGTGTGCATTACTCAACTAAACCCTTGCAATGGCCCCTTGTGTTCGCTATGACAGCATGTAGCGGCGGCATCATTAAAAGGCTTGAAATAACAGTAGAGAGACTACAGCCACACCATAAAAGCAATACAAAACACATAGCAGCCCACAACTCACAATAAAATTACACTCAAGTTGTTTGCAATGAAAAACAACAATGAGAAGCTTACTAGAAACTGTGCCTTAAAAGAGGATCTTCTATTACTTTGGAACCAAAAAAAAAAAAAAAAAAAAAAAAGACCTTGTACTTTATTAAGGTCAATGTATCCTAAAAGCTATTTATTCAATTTGACGCTGCACACTACTTACTATATGTTTCCGCAGCAGTGATAACTTACTTCTGATGAAAAAAGATGCACTCACGGCATGGTTCTGATGCTTGATTAACCAGCCAAAATAGAGCAAGAAGTTAAACTTTGGATGGGGCTTGCTCAAACTAAGGCACAACAAAATTATATTAATCACAAATTAAGCAAAAGCTGCACCAACATGTAAATTAAGGAAACACCTCGACGATAAAATACATAAAATTAGAGAAGTGTTTATCAACTGGAAGGTATATATGAGTATTATGTCTTTGAGCATCTCACAAGAGTATAATAATAGTTACAAGTCACATAAAGTTACAACCAATATCTCCTCTACTTACTAGAATAATGATGAAGTTAAGTTAACAATGCTGCCATAAACAAACATTTATGTAATTTTGTCAAACTTCAATGATCAAAATGATTTTTTCTTCTCATGAAATCTTACCTCTAATTTCTTATAATTAAGCAACATTTTAGATCATTAGCTTCTCTGAAAAGCTTTAAGCGACAACCAAGGGAAAAGCAATTATCACATCAAGATAATGTTGCAACAAGTACCAGCAACAAGAAGAAATAAGGGGTAAAGAACCACAAAATTAACAGAAAATTTTAGTTTGTCCTTATCTATCCAAGAGAAGATTCACTTCATCCTGAAATCAAAGTATAATAAGTACCTGATGGACATCCTCTGGCGTAAGAAATCCATTACCCCTACAAAAAGAGCAAAATCATAAGCGAATGCATGGAAGACAACTATTTCTACCAAATCCCATGAGATGTATAGTGTTTCTGACAGAGACGGAAAGACAGAATCTGTTATCCAATGTAGAAAATTATGCAATATGAAATTTAAAATGATACGGCTAATACTCTAAGATAATCATTTACCATGTACGAGGAGAGCCAAAAATTAGTAAAGCCCAGTTGAGAGGAAAGATGTAGTGTCTTCTACCATAAATTAATTACAAAGGATCATAAAAGAAACAAGCTTACTAAAATTCACGCAAAAAAAAAAAAAGAAATTCCCAATGTAGAAAATTTCAAAAATCAATATTCCAACTAAGAGCAAAAAAGGCTACCAGGCAGGAAGGGATAAGGAAAGAAAAGACACCTAAAAAAATCTTATGCTTCTACAACATCTTGTGGGCTCCGAAAATTCCGACGCCCCAAAATTTGCGTTGTGCTTGTTGTTGAGAGATTTGAGAGTCAAATTTTCAGAAGTCAGATTGGATTGTAGATAAGACACTACCCAGAGATTCGCCATCATTTTACGAGAACCTTTTAATCTTGGCTTAAAGATTTCTCATATGTGCAAGATCTCAACTTTCGATTAAGGCTGGTCATTAAACAATTAATATTCAGTATATAAAGACAGCAAAATTTTAGTTTATATTGTAAAATTTATCACTTAGAGCTGAGGGAAAAGATGAGAAACCCGATCAATATCCTAAGGTTCGGTCATCCTGCATCATCATACTAGTTAACCCAACCTAACTGAAGGATTCTTGTCAGCAACCATAGGTTGCGTCTTCCAATTAACCCTCGTATATATAGGGTGAATGTCTGTCTAAAGAAAAATATTTAAGTCAATCTTAACTGGCATAAGATATTATGTCAAGCAATTCCACCCTCGTGATTCACAATTCAAATGGTAGAATGTAGTTGAGGAACATACGAACTACGCTCATGATCATAATTAATTGTGAAATTTGGCGACAACCGCCCGGTCAAAGGGTTTTGATCGTAACAACTACTTTTCAGTATTAATAGATTGCAAAACCCGGACAGAAGACTCGGGACATGTCCTTATTGGCATGAGATTGTTTTGAGTGTGAATAAAGTGATACACTCAATGTGATATTTACTCTGTGAGCTGATATCAATTAACAGTTTATCACCCTTGACAATTTGTTGTGGAGGGTGGATGAATTTTGTTTTTAGTTTCTAAGTGATTGAATTTTAAATTTAACATTTTAACTTGTCTAATTTAAGTTCTAAGTTAATTGATTTTAATTTGAGTGTTTTGATCCGTCATTTTGAGAATTTGATTTGAAAATTGATTTAAAAGTTGATCCCTCAAGTTGTGGTTTTCAGTCAACACGACCTTCATGGAGGCTTGATTTTTTGTTTTTGACCATATAAACTTTACTTTTGCTCATAAATGATCGGGCTTGATATTTACATGTGATTGTATATGAACCTTGCCAACTTTATTCTACTTATAAAGAATCGGGTTTATAAATATATCATTTGAATTATTTTCAAATAGAATTTGAAACTTAATTTTGAAAAAAGATCCATGCAGTTGAAATTTTCTATCAACTAGGCCATCAACTTGGATTTGATTGTTTAATTTGAACCCTGACGACTTTACATTTTACTTGTAAATGATCAAATTACAAATTGACATATGATCAAACATGAACCTTGCCAACCCCTGTCTTGGATACAGAGTATTCAGTTTATTTATATATATATATATATATATATATATATATATATATATATATATATATGATATGGCGATCTGCTCTGATAGGGTTTCGCCCTGGTTTGATTCCTGACTCGACGACGAAGACGAAGTTTCCCGCAATCGACGACGACGACGCTGTTTCCCGCACTCGACGATGACGACGAAAGACCCTTGCGATCGTCGTCTTCTCTTTTGCGTCAAACGACGAAGGGCTTCGGCGTCTGCTTTCTGCGGTTTCGCCGTCACCTCCTTCTCACCTCTCCGCAGTTCTTTTCTATGCGGATCGAGCTACGGCTATCTGTCGAGCTACAATTTCGTGCCCTATCGCATCCTGCGATTCCTGTCTTCTGCCAGCTTCGCCCCGAACTCTTCTACTTGTTTTTTCTTGCCCTCTGCCAGACTTATAGGGCTTCTCATCCTTGTGATGGAGTTTCCTTCTTCTTCGGTTGAACCTGACGAAACCTTCTTTGCCCACGTGGTGGGTAATCCTCAGGGAGAGACGGCGGTTATATTCCCTTCAAGTTATAAAGAACATCGTAATGGTACAGGTGACTCCCTTTATTAAGAATGCAAACGCAAAAAGTGGCAAAGCGGCACTCTTTTTCTCCACGTCAGAAATTTCAACGCTGACTGACAAATTCAAATTTGCTCTTATTGAAAAATTTCAGTGGAGACACCCACCTATGAAAATTATCAGGAAAAGTTTTGATGACATCAAATTAACAGGAAAGTGGAAAGTGGGCTCATGGATGAGAGACATGTTTTGATTCAGTTAACCGTGCCTAAGAACTACACTTGGATTTTCTCCAGAAAATATCTTAACATCGTTGGTATACTTATGAAGTTACTCAAGTGATCTTCTGATTTCGATCGAAATTATGAAACTCTCACTGTAACGGTATAGTTTAGTTTACCTGGTCTCAAGATGCATTTTTTCACTATCCAGTTAACTATTATATTGGGGTCATCCTTGGGGATCCTTTGAAGCTAGATCTGCCTACTTTCAACCTAACCAGACTCCGGTAGCCAGAATACTTGTGGAAAGGGCTATTACTTTACCTGATGTTACTGAAATCTAGCTGGGCACAACCCATAATGGTTACTGGCGACAAATCGTCATGGAGCACAGACCCCCATATTGTACCCACTATAAGATGTTTGGTCATGTCCTTGATAAATTGTCACAAGTTTCATTCAAATTTGAAATCTAAGGTTCAAGTGAATAAGGATGGATCTAACCTCACTGCTCTGGATATTTTAGTTTCACCTGGAAAGGATACTACCAGACAGAAGGTGTATATTGCCCTTGAGGACCCCCCTTGACACTGTTGTTACTATTACTGCGAGTGATGTGATGTTAACACCCTCAAAACCCCATAGAAAATAATACTGGTGGACTATTACCTACAAATGATAGTGTTCAGACTGATAATCAGAAGAGTCTCGTAGCTCCACTTCTTCACGAAGTATCCGGTGTAGAGGCAACTCATACTTCACATGTAGTAGAACCTATCATGAGTACTACAGTTGGTATTCTTTCTGCATCAGCTCTACCATCCCATTAGACTGATTCTTCGGATGAGGAATGACAGGTCTATTCCCGAAGGAAGAAGAAGAATGAAGGTCAACTCCAGCTTGGGAACATATTAGATGATACATTGGTTACTACTGGAAATGGCGATCATCTTATCAGTTTATTAGCTTACTCCTTCCCTAGAACTAGAGGCAGAGGAAAGACCACATTGGGTCGCTCTTTAGCCACCTGATACTATATATTTCGGCACTACTAGACTTTTTATTTAAGTATCTAATGTACTTTTCTATTATTTCTAGTTTTGAAACCATTTGTGATTTTTGTGTGAGCAGTGTGTCATGTTTGGGGCCCCCCCACACATTGTATCTGTATGTATCTTTCTTTCTATTTAATATATTAGCCTTTTTAGGCTTTCAAATTTTTTTAGAAGCCCAACGACAAATATATTAAAAAGAAAAGGGTACATATAAGTTGTATGAGTGGGCCCAAATAGGCACCCAACCCACACGGTACAACACACAAAAAAGAAAAAACCCAAAAATAAATAGTATATATAATATCAATCAGGACGACCAAATTTAGTTCAGCCTCTGCCTCTAGTTCTTGGAAGGAAACCATCTAATAAATTGGTGAGGTGCATACCATTGCCGAAGTAACCAAAGTGTCATCCATTAGATTCATTAGCTCAAGTAGATCTTCATTCTTCTTCTCCTTCAGGAAGTGTTAACCTGTCATTCCTCATCTGAAGATTGTTGCTCAATCGGATGAAGTGGTAGTGCTGTAGTAGAAAATTTGCCAACAGTTGTACCCACAATGGGTTCTAGTGAATGTGAGGTATGAGTTAATGCCTCTACCCCTGATACTTCCTGAAGAAAGGAAGCTGCAAGGTTCTCCTGATTATCAGTCCTTGTAGGTAGGGATCCTTCAGTGTTGTCTTCAATAGGGTTTGAAAGTGTAGGTTGCTCAGAGTCATCTAGCTTCATATCATTCGCAGATACAGTATTTTTCAGGGGGCCAAAGCAATAAGGTTAGATCCATCCTTATTCACTTGATCTTTAGATTACAAATTAGGATGAAGCTTATGGCATTCATCAAGAGTATGCCCAAACATTTTTCAATGAGAACAATAAGGAAATGTATGCTCCATGACGATTTGTTGTCAATATCCATTGTGAGTTGTGTCCAACCAGACTTCAGTAACATCAGATAAAGTAATATCTCTTTTCACAAGTAGTTTTGGTTAGGCTGAAAGTGGGTAGATCTAGCTTCATAAGGTCCCCAAGTATCGCCCAAATAGAGTAAAGAACCTTATGATGAAAAAAATACAACTTGAGACTAAGGAAAACTAAATTATACCGGTGCAGAAGAAGATTCATTATATATATATATATATATATATATATATATATATATATTAGGGTTTCGCCTCACGGAGAAACCTTAGCCTCTGCTACCTAATTACACGCTCGAAGAAGAAGGGGAGTACGACTCTCTGTTCTGTCGCCTGTATTGTCGAGCCTGTAGGGCCGATCGTGCTGCTGTAGGGCCGATCGTGTTGTTGTAGGGCAGATAAAGCTACGATGTGCTGCTCGAGTTTCTGCTGTTTGGACCAGTCCTATGCCTTCCGCGGGTTCGATGACCCAACGCTTCTGGTCGCGCTTCGTATCGGACCGTCTGGTTGGTTCTTTGGCTTTTGCATCTACG